AACAGACACTTCTCAAAAGAAGAAATACAGATGGCCCACAAATATATGAAAAATTTTTCAATATCTCTGTCAATTAGGAAAATGCACATCAAAACTTATATTGAGGGCTGGGATTGTGGCTCAGCGGTAGAGCGCTTGCCTCATGCAGGCGGGACCCGGGTTCGATCCTCAGCACCACATAAAAATAAAGGCATTGTGTTGTGTCCATCTACACCTAAAAATATATATATATATTTCTAAAAAAAAAAACTTTTATTGAGATTTCATCTTACTCTATCAGGATGACAATTATTAAGAAGAAAAATAACAATAATTGGTGATGAGGATATGAGTAAAACGTACACTTATACATTGTTGGTGAGACTGAAAATTAATGCATCGATTGTGGAGAGCAGTATGTTGATTCCTCAAAAACTAGGAATGGAACCAACCATATGACCCAACTATCCCACTTCTTAGTAGAAACCCAAAAGATCTAAAATCACCTTGATGTTTATTTCAACACAATTCACAATAGCTAAGCTGTGGAACCAACCTAGGTACATCTCAACAGAAGAATGAATTAAAAAATGTGGTATGTATACACAATGGAGTATTACTCAGCCATAAAATAGAATAGAATTATAGTATTTGTAGGTAAATGGATGGAACTCTGGAGACTGTCATGCTAAGTGAAATACTGAAATATGCCCAGACCCAGGAAGTCAAAGGTGGAATGTTTTCTCTGAATTTCAGAAGGTAGTTCGAAATAAGAGGGAGTGGGGAGAAAGGAAAAGAGGAAGGCGCACTAATTTCTTTTTCAAAATAGAAGATGAGTGGAATAGAGGAAGGGGATGCAGGGGGAGAGAAGAGGAATGGTATAAGGGAAGAATAGTAGAATGAATATTACCTAACTTTACATATATGAATATGTCACAGTGAATCTCACCATCATGTACATCCACAAGACACTAATTAGGAAAAAAAGAAAAGAAAACTACACAAGAGGAGAAAGATCAGTAAAGGGAAGGGAACAAGGAGAGGGAAGAGGGAAAGGAATGGGGAAGTTAAGTGGGGATTGAATTAGAGCAAATTATATTCCATGCCTTTATAATTATGTTAGAATGAACAACTAAATGTTATGTACAACTATAAAGAACCAATAATAAAAAGAAAATTTTGCTATGTTCTATTCTAGCTTTCTCTTTTGCCCTTAAGAATCTGCCACCTGATTCCTTTACAATTATCTGCTAAATATTTAATGGGTATTTTTAATTTAGAAACTCACATATTTAGAATTTTTTTGTTTATTTTGCTTTGTAGTTTTTATAGTGTAGTTGGTTTTAATTACTACCCTTTAATTTCGTCATTAGTGTGTTTCCTATTTATTTTTGGTACTGAAAGTTTCCTTTCTTACTTTAAAATTTAATGATGTAGTTTTTAAATTTCTTTCTTTTCCTTAGGGTTATATCAATGCTTTCTGTATGTTTAGAACACAAGGGAATTATTTCAATGTCTGTGTGTCTCGACTAAGTCATAGTTGATTATTTTTGTAGGTTAACACTTCAGAAAATTTTTCCAGTTTTGTTCATTTGTGCAGAAATTGACTTCATGTAGGTACTTAGGTGCACTTACATGCTGTATATAAATTGTATTTTCTAGTAATTGTATACTTTTAACTATATATGCATAACTATTTTCAATTTGATTGATCCTTATGCCTTTATAAATCAGAATATTAGGCAAAGTGAGATATCCAGATATGTTAGAATTTGAAAGTTGGAGGAGATGGAGTTCATATAGTTTCAAAATATGAAGCTCATTGTTGTGAAATTATTTAATTGCTGAAGCTAATTTTGTGCAATCTTTTCTGTACTTTAAATTTTCTTTCTTAATGGTAGAAGTATTGTATCCAAATATGAAATATCTTTCAGAATGTTTAGCTTAGTACATAGATATACATTTTGGAATTTTACTAGTGGTAATGGACTTTGATTTTAAACATGTTTGAAAATAGAGCAATGATTAGTACATATGGTAACCAACTTTGACAATTTATTGTGGGAAATAGAAAAGTAAACTTGTGTGATTCAAGTAAAACTTTTTTGATCCTATTACAGATAGTACAAATTCTTAAAGACAGAAACACAAATACAAATTACCTAGTGCTTTAAAAAAATATGCCCTGGGATAGATACTTAATATATTTAAAGTAAGCCATTTCTTTCTAAAGTTACTATGGTGGTTAAATAAAATACTTTAAGAAATACATCCAGTGCCTAGTCCAAGGTAAATAGAGTATCCTTTTCCTTTTTTATGTGCAACTTGCAACATTTCTCTAGTTCAAGATTAAAGCAATAGATCTTATAGGAATATTAACCTCTTTGGCTACTTAAATAAGAGCTAGATGACAGTTTCTAAAAATAAACTGAAGCTTTTCTAAAATAAAAGCAAATTGCATGTATTCTCTAAGCTTCAATTATCTGACTTTTTTTGCAATGCAGTCTTTCAGTGCTTTCTACTTTTGCTTAGTGTAGATAAATTGTAAACTTGTTTAACAATATTAGGACCCTTTGTTTATTAAAGCTTTTAATTTTTAAACTTTCACTTACTGATTTAATTAACTTATATGCATATAAAAATGGTTTTTATATTAAACTTAAAACTCCACAGCCTTGAAGATAACTTGCTTTAGATATTACATGGCCAATTCTTAAATCTTCCCATAAAGTACTTACAAAAGTCATTATTATTTTTACTTGGGATATTTACTTGGAAATAGGATATTTAAAAAATTCTAATGTCAACAATTGTGAAAACATAGAAAGTATCTTACCTCTTGATATATCTTGCATTCAATTAATGCTGACTTTAACAACCTTTGTGATTTAAATATTTGCAGTATCCTAGCTAAAACATTAAAATTTGACTAATTTTATATTTCACTGTGATCTTTATACAATAATTTAATATTCTCATTACCTCAAATTAATTTCAGAATGTTCTAGGAAACAACAATGAAAAAAATAATTAAAACTATAGAAAATAATGTCAAACTTTAAAGGTTATACATATGTGTCCAATTTGTGCGCAGTTTTCTTTTGAATGTTAATGTGAAAATATTCTCTAAAGCACAGCATGATTAGTTTATAGTCTATAAAAGAATTTTAGATTTGTTTTTATAGAATCTGGCTTTCCAATGTTTTCAAAATGAGAGGTCAATTGTTAAAGAATTTTTAAAAACTCTTTCCTCTAAAGTTGATTAACAAAGAGCTCTACACTCAAATCACATTCAATTTTTCAGTAGTATACATGAACAGATCAGCTATCTTTAGCCCTGTCCGAATCTGAGCAAAACAGCAGTTTTAACTATGTGCTGAGCTAATTTTGAATGTCAAAGTATAACTAGATTTTAGTCACTGGATTTCTCACATCAAAAAAGTACAAAAAACGCAATTTATTTACCTTTCTGTCTTGTTCCTTTTGTTGCTTTTCCACCTTCCTTGTTGTGAGTTCTGCCTTTGAAATGAAATCTGAGTATCACATGATGTAATGTTTGATCAAATTACTGAAATCTCTGTCTTATAGGTCACAGACTAATTTCTATATGTTTCTCATATAGTTAATTAAAAGCCAAATAATGAAATCAAATAAGTTGGAGATAAAGTTGTACTTTTGCTGTTAATATGAAATGAGAAGAACAAATTGCTTACTTCACACCCGGAGAATCTGGTTCTGCCAGTTAGACGCCTATTCTTTAGATTAAAGGAAGATTTTCATTGGAGCTAGCTTGTAACAGGAAGTCCTTGTTTTACTGCCTACATAGAGTATTTTGCACAGTCTCTGAAACTCAAGTCCTACATTATCTATACAATATATTACTCAAAAAAAAAGCAATGAGTTTACTTTTTTTTCTTTAGATATAAAAGCCTATTAAAAAATAAGGAATTAAGTAGGAATAAATAAGAGTGTAAAGAAGCTTGGTATAAAACCTTTTTGTTCCATTTACTTTAAAATTATTTAATTATATCCTATTTTAGGAAATCCCATGAGGGCACATAGCTCATAGAATCATAGAATTTCAGGAGAACAGCCACAAAAAAAGCTCATGTCTTTAAACCGCTCACGCTACTTTTCATTTTACTATATTGCTATTTTTACTTTACAAGATGTTTCTTTTAACATGGAAGAGCTAAAACTGTATAGTAATATTAAGCCATTTATTTGTTATACAAATATAACAACTCCAAACTAATACCAGGAGGAAGTAGTTATAGGAAAACTTAGAAATGAAAATTTTTCTGACACTACCAAATTCCCAAACCTTTCCTGTTTTTCCCTCCTACATTAGTTGTTTGAGGGCAAGAGGAAGAACATTCATATAACAATTATCAAAATAACATTTATCTTTATTCTTTGACTTAGAAGTCCTACCTCTTGGAATCTTGTTTCTCATTAAGAAATGACTCTGAAACTACCTAATTTTTACAGTACTCTGTAAAAATGAAATGGTGAAACACAAATATCCTTCAGTGCAGAATGAACTGAATAAATGACAGAATATTTATGTAGTGGTGCATTTTGCAACTATACAAAATAATTTTTTTTTTATTTCTCAGAGCAGATTTAGAATTTAATATTGAGTTAAAACAAAAAGCACAGTGCAAAAGAAGTGTATGCAGTATACTAGCTTTAAGAAAGAGAAGGTGAATATAATATTATACACACAGACAAAAATCAGTCAATGACAATGAATATCCATCATGCCCAAATTGTGCTCTTTAAAATACCATTTCTCCCATATACTTATTTATATTTTCAGAATGAAAGTATGTGAGGATGAACTAAAAACTAATGAAAATAGTTACATATAAGAGAAAGGAAGGAATAGAGAAAGAAGGTATAGATATGGATGATATTTCTTTCTGATTGAAACTTGTTTATGTAACTTTGAATTTTGAACCATATAAATGCATTAACAATTAATTTAAAAAAAACAAATTATCTTTATAAAGTAAAACTACTCTGAAACAAATGAACCTACCTCTATAACTAAGTGATGGCATAGCCACACAGAAAAGGGTTATTTCAAGTATTTAAAACTCAATATTTGTGGCATCTGTAGTGGGATATATCTTAGAGACAGAAATAACCACAAAGATATCTTAACCTTCATTTAGTAATCTTTATTTTTAGTAATAATATTAAAGTTATTAAGTTTATTTATTTTTATATGATTCTAAGAATTACACCCAGTGCCTCACATGTGCTACGCAAGCGCTCTACCACCAAGCTACTGCCCCTGAAATTATTAAGTTTAAACTCATATACAATGAAGCAAATAGTTAATGTCAATGTCATTAGAACTTGTAGTTGTCAGCATATATAAAAAGAGATACAAACAAGATCTAAGAAGCTAAGTGAAAACTCGGTAATATTTGATTTGAAGTTAAACAGAATCAGTATGAACTGATTGTACCACCAGGTACAATCCATTTTTATTAAAATTAGGAAATAAAGGCAAAAGATCAGATGTTGATCTTAATTTTTTTCTATGAATTGAATTTAAGTGAGTCACAAGTAGTTTTTGAAAGCTAATTTTTTTATAGAAAATTCTGGTATTAATTATAGGAAGAATATAGAACTAAATAAGTCGTCTTTTATAAACTAGTATAAAATAATAGAATCAAGCAAAGATCATTAGTAAAATTTGAAATGAAAGGCCAATGCGGAACTTTATTTTAAATGGATCAGACTGTAAATCTACTGATCAATTTTAATATCATAAAAATATGGTAGCATATAAAAAGTAAAAGTAATACTGTATGGCTCCTGTGCTTGCCAAAAGAGTTGTAATGTTTTGAACCACCAATAAAAAAAAAAAAGTGTTTAGCCTCTACATCTAACTACCAAATATGGGGAGTACAGAGTATATGTGTTAAATGGTCTCATGAGGAAGTATTACTTAAATCCAAAACATGGGAAAGCCTAAAAAGAAATGATTTGTTTTATTTTGTAAGGAAATAACATAGTAGGAAAAGAGGAGTTATGCAATATACTAGCTTTAAGAAAGGGAGGGTTAATATAATATTAAAAAAACACTTAAGACTGATAAGTTATGTGTATGGATTGTATCTGATTTTGAACTTAACATTTACAAAATGATACTGGGGAATGTTGAATGCATTGAGGTAATATTAAAGATTTACTATCAATTTGTTAGGTATAACAAAGATATTATGGTAATATATTGTAATTTTAAAATGAACAGGGAAAAGTGGAAGGTATTTAGATGAACAAGGTTGGTTCAGTATTGATAATTTTTTAAAATTGATCATAGAGTTTCATTAGATATATTGTTCAGTGTATTTATTAAAAACTACATTTTGCCCTCCCCGAAAAAAAAAACCCTGTCATATGCATTACATTGTCTTTTAGTATTGGAAGGAAATTGGTTCCAGGACTGCCCTATAATACCAGAACTAAAGATGCTCAAGTCCCTTGTAGAAAATAACGTATTATTTGCATATAATTTGTGTATAGCCTCCTATATACTTAAACGGCCTCTAGATTGCTTATAATGCTTAGTGCAGCATAAATGCAGTGTAAATAGTTGTAACACTATTGTTTAGGAAATAATGACAAGAAAAATATATGTAGACAAATAGCAGTATCTCAGTGTGATTCCCATTTTTCTTAAGAACTTATTTCTTCCCCAGTTGTCCCTAATTTAATGTGTTTGTTGTGTATATTTATCCCCAGTGCTGGTCCAAGTAACTAGAAGTATAAGTCTCCAGTAAATTGCACATTTATGTGGACATATTCACACATCAGAAATATAGATGAACTCAAATATTATTATTATTTTTTTAAATTTGTTGGTTTTTGATATACATGACAAACTGATCAATGAGCACAAGTGCCTTTGTTAGATTGTAAGTAAGATAGAGTGCATTTTGACATGTTTTACATATATGGAGTATAACCCACTCCAATTAAAATCCCATTCTTACGGTTGTACATACTATGGAATTACACTGGTTGTATATTAATTTATGAGCAAAGGAAAGTTATGTCCATTTCTTTCTGCTGTCTTTCCTGTTCCCATCCCCTCACCCTTCTCTTCATTTGCCTTTGTCTAATCCATTGAACTTCTATTCTTCCTCTCCCAACCCTCCCTTGTTGTGGGTTAGCATCCACATATCAGAGAGAACATTTGACCTTTGGCTTTTTGGGACTGGCTTATTTCACTTAGCATAATATTTTCCAGCTTCATCCATTTATTAGCAATGCCATGATTTTATTATTCTTTATGGCTGAGTAATATTCCATAGTGTATATATACCTTTTTCTTTATCCATTCATCTGTTGAAGAGCACCTAGGTTGGTTCCAGAGCTTGGCTATTTTGAATTGAGCCGCTATTAACATTGATGTGGCTCTTTCACTGTAGTATGCTGATTTTAAGTTCTTTGGGTATATACCAAGGAGTGGCATAACTGGGTCAAATTGTGGTTCCATTCTAAGTTTTCTAAGGAATTTCCATACTGCTTTCCAGATTGGTTGCATCAGTTTGAAGTCCTACCAGCAATGTATGAGTGAACCTTTTTCTTCACATCCTCATTAACATTTATTATTACTTGTATTCTTAATAATTGCCATTCTAACTGCAGTGAGATGGAATATCAGTGTAGTTTTACTTTTCATTTCTCTAATTGCTAGAGATGTTGAACATTTTTTTCTTATATTTTTGGCCTTTTGTATTTCTTCTTCTATGAAGCACCTGTTCAGAACTCAAATATTATAAGCACAGCTTGAGTATTTGTCATTTAAAACATGGTTGTTTTTATTTTTAAATTGTAGGAACATGAGACAAGTGTACTTATATCATGATATAATTCATTTTAAGAGGATGAGGACATAGTTTTGACTGAGGGATATGGAAAGTAGCCCACTTCTTTCTCCTTTTGTAACTTTCTTGTTGGCCTGTTAATTTATTGCTTTTGATATGTGAACACTTTTCTTTATCTGATTTTCCTCTCTTAGGCCAGTCCCTACAGACTTCTTTTCATCAATAATAAGCAAAAATGTTGAAATCAATACTACCATACTTTCTAAAATCAGGTTATTCATTATTCAGTAGATTAAAACTTTGGAATTGAAGGAAATGGTCAAAATATTTTAAGTCACCGTCTGATTATATATGCTATAAAATCATTTCATTTGTCATTCTTAGGTTGGCAAATAAACAAGACAAGGAAGGGGCTTTAGGAGAAGCTGATGTGATTGAATGTCTCTCTCTGGAAAAACTGGTCAATGAGCACAAATGCCTTTGTCAGATAGTAAGTTTTTTTCCCCTCTTCGGTTTAAATTTTGTTCAGTGCAACTTAGTTTTGTATAGGTGATAGATTAAAATTAGAGAGTAACTTTAAGAGTTCCCCTGCCTCAAGGAAATCATGCTCTCACTGTTCTAATGATATTAGCTCATATTATAAAATTTGTAGTCTATTTACTTGTTACTTCTATAGATTATCCTTCATAATTTCAAAGATTTTTTACTTTTGCCTTTTGTTTTAAGATATTGTTAGCTGGGCATGGCGGCACATTCCTATAATATCAGGGGCTTGGGAGACTGAGGCAAGGGAATTGCAAGTTCAAAGCCAGCCTAGCAAGGCCCTAAGGAACTTAGCAATACCCTGTCCCAAAATAAAAAGATAAAAAGGGCTGTGGATGTGGCTCAGTGGTTAAGCACCCCTCAGCTCAATCTCTGGTACCACCACCACCCCACCAAAAAAAAAAAGGACAGGACCTGTAGACTTTACCAATATATTGTGCTACAAATATTGAGAAAGGGGAAGGAAAAAGTATAAATATAAAGCTTATTTAAATATAAGAGATTAATAATAAATTTTGAAAAATGACATCAGGAGTTTTGTAGCCTACAAATATTATCTATAATGTCTTTCAACTTCTATGTAATATGAAAGTTACTGACCATTGAAAAAGTAGTTATTTTAAGTTAGCAGGTGTTTCATATCAGTAATTTAAATGGCTTAATTTTGATATGCCAGTAATTATACGTCATGGTTTATGAATAGATTTATGTGGAGAACTTTTAATTTTAATCTTTGAATCAAATAATTTCTGTTTTAGGAACCTTGTTCAGCAGTCTTGGGATATGGAAAGAAAATTGACAAGTCCATTAAAAAAGGCCTTTATTGGCTACTACATAACATTGCAAGAGACTTTGATACCTTAAATGAACGCATCCAAAAAGACACAACAGAACAACGAGCTCTTGAGGAACAAGAGAAACGAGAAAGGGCTGAGCGAGTGCGAAAATTACGAGAAGAAAGGTAAATAATTTAACACTGTGGTATATTTGAAGATATAATACCATGGCACTTTTTAAAATAATTTGTGAGTTTGTCTATTCTAGTTTCATCTGTTTTGTGTGAAAGAAAATACTAAGTTAATTGCCTATTTCTATGGATCTTTGCACAAGTTTGGATGATAGATTTTTAATTTTCCTGTTGGTTTTATACTAGTTGTAAATGTACTTTTTATGTAGTCATTATTTCTCAGACTTTAAAATTTCTCTCTTATTTTTTTATTGGTACTTTTAAATCTGTGCTTTTCAATAGGTAGAGAAATTTTGCCTCTCAGAGAACTTGTGGCACAGTCTGGAGACATTTTTAGTTGCCAGAGCTGGGGAGTAGGGGGAAGTTCTGCTGAAATGTAATGGATAGAGGCCAGGGGTGCTGCTAAATGTCCTGTAACGCACAGGACAGTTTCCCACAATAAAGAATTGTCAGGCTCACTATGTCATCATGTATCGAGATTAAGAAAACTTTAGACTCAGCAAAGATGGAAAGAGACAGCTTGAGGGGCTGAGGCAGGATGATTGCAAATTCAAAGCCCGCCTCAACAAAAGTGAGGCGCTTAGCAATCTCAGTGAGACACTATCTCTAGGTAAAATGCAAAAAAGGGTTGGGATTTGGCTCAGTGGTTGAGTGTCCCTAGTTTCAATGCCCAGTACAAAAAATAAAATAAAATTTAAAAAGAGATGGAAGGTGAACTAATAGAGTATTGTTCAGCCCAAGCAAAAGCTGATCTTCAGCAGTAATATTGTCAGAAAAATAAGTTATCTCAGGTTTTTAAAATATATTTAAAAATTATTTTTAAAATATGCCATCTGAAGGAAAACATTTAAACTAAATCCACCAAATTCTATTAAAAAAAAGATTGTATAAATTCTACTTCAGAATAGTGATTTTAATGCTATAAGAAAGTGCTAATATTTGAATAGAAGTTGTATTGTTACATGGTAGAGAAGGGGAGAAAAGAGGAAAATGAAAAATATTTTTAAGTGAACTATAAGATTCAAATTTGCCTTCCATCAACTTAAGTAATATTGGCTTTCCACATGGTTTAACATAGTTGCAGCGCAGTAGACAAGAAGCCACTACCTTTGTGAGGTGCTTCCTTACATTGTAAAAGATATCATCTGATGATATCTGTCTTTTAATGTAAAGATAGCACTTAAAGGAACAAAATATCTGTAGAAATAACTCTGTTCCCAAGTGTTCAGTAGTATTAGTTCATCTGTTAGCCTCTTGACATCAAAGAATGAATGGGATGAGAGATCTTGGCAACTGCCCGTATGAAGTTGTACTCACTGTGAGAATCTTTGTATTTTCTTATCCTAGTGTATATTTTCATGAAATAAAGCTATTACATCAATTATGTATATATTTATAAAAATAAAATATTCAGTCACATTTTTCTAAAATATCTGTTGCCTTTCCTCCACTGAGTGGAGCTCACTGGTGGAGAATGTGCATAGCATATGGGATGCCCTGTGTATTCAAACCCCAGTAGCAAAAAAGAAAAGGAAATGAAGATGAAAACAACAATAAAAAGTTGAATTAATATAATAAATCTAATGTAAAACATTTTTCTAAAATTTTTACCTTTTCTGTAATGATATTTTATGTAAGTTATGACAGGCATTTTTGATAGTCATTCCCCTTTCCTGCTTTCTCCATAGCCATGCCTGTTGTGATCTTAGACCTCAACTGTTAAGCTGAGACTTCATAGTTAAAAGTAAACTGGCCTTTAGAGAGGAATGAATAAAACAATCTTTTTTACTTTTTATTTCACCAATTTCAGTCTAATTGGTTCACACTGTGATTTCTAATGTTTCTGAAAAATATGCTGTTTTTGGTATGAAAATCGTATATTAATACTATATATCTGTTACTAGTAATCAGTAACATTAATAATAATGACTGTCCTATAAGTGTGTTCATTTACAGAATATTTTTACATATATGAGTTTATCTGATCCTCTTTACATCCTTATGAGGTATTTTTGTCCACAATGGTGGGAAAACTGAGGCTCAAAGAGCCAGTCCAAGGTCACAAAAGAAGCAAATTACAAATCTCCAAATCTTTTTTTCCTAGATTCAGATTGAAAGATGTATATTTCCATAATAGAACACAGTTGATGAATTTTGTAGTAATGAACATTCAAATTGCTATACTATATGATAGTCTAGTTGAAGATCCACAATTCTAACTTTTCTGCCTTTGGCTGCTTCTTTTAGTAACTTATTACTCTTCAAGTACTGGGCAACATGAATGATAAATTTCAGAGATAGTAATATTTCATTGGTACCTAATATGGAATTATTTAATCTGATTATTGAAGGACAACTTATTTTTATAGCCTCATACTATTATGCAGACCAATAGTTGTTTTCTAGTTCAAATATGATGTACAACTTAACAAAATTTATCATTTAATGTTACTTTTTTGTCATGTACTTCTATAGAATCAATTTGCGGTGTGCTACTTTTTTTTTTTTGTCTTGTAAGAAACATGTTTCTACATAAATAAAAACATAGATTGTGTTGGTGTTTTCCCAGTACTTTTAACAAGAGAAGACATAGCCCTTAAGAGGAAGGTTATCAAAGACTTAAGCTATTGATCAATAAAAAGACAGTAATTATTTTAGAGGATAATTAATGAATCAACAAATAAACTCCCTTTGCACATGGAAAAATAATTAAATTGTACTTCAGCATTGAGAAATCAGACATACAATGTCATTTTTGTCAGAATTTCTTTTAAAATTCAAATGATAAATTTTTACATGAGGATAGAGGCCTATTACCTCCATGAGGAATTTTTAAATGTTCTTAGTAATTAAAAGACAAAACTCGATGTTTAAATTACTAAATTTAAATAATCTTTAACCTATCTAGAATAGGTTTCTTAAACATGGCTCAGCGCTTTTTCAAAATGAATTTTATTATTTTTTTTCCCTTCAAATAATAGAGAACAAAGAGAACGAGAGCAATCTGATGGAACCAGTGGTCTGGCTGAGTTGGAACCAGAACCAGTTACTGTTAACCCTTTCCAGCCAATAGCATCTGTAATTATTGAGGTATGAGTGATGGCAAATGTTAATTTTTATATCTTAAAATTATAAGTTGGAAGTTGGGACAGGAGGCAAGGAGGTAGAAGAATTTCTCCAGAGAGATTTTTTTGTAAAAAAACTAAAGGCGAGATACAATTAGAAGGTTTACTAGTTTTTCTTTCTCTTCAAATTTACTTTTTGAGATTATGGATATAGCTCAGTGGCAAAATGCTTGCCTAGCATTCATCCAAAATATTTTGAAAATTTAAAAAATTACTTTTCTTTTTATTAGTTGCTCATGACAATACAATGATCTTGACATATTATACATTTGAATCAAATGGGGTATAATATCTCATTTTTTCAAGTGTACAGGTTGCAGAATCACCTTGGTTATACATACAGCAATACTAGTGTCTAATTTATTCTGCTGCCTTTCCTATCCCCCCTTTTCCTCCCCTCCCCTCACCTCTCTCTACCCAATCTAACGTGACACATTTCTTTTTTTTTTCCCCCTCACATCATCATACATATATTTTGTATAACAATGAGATTCTCCTTCCATCTTCCGTGCAATTCCCCTTCTCCCTCCCATTCTCTCCCACCTTACTTTTTTGAAGCCAGGTGTGGTGGTGCATGCCTGTAAATCCCAGCAGCTCAGAAGTCCAAGACAGGAGGATTCCAAGTTTGATACTATCCTCAACAACTTAGCAAGACTCTGAACAACTTAGCAAGACCCTGTCTCAAAATAATAAATAAAAAGGACTGAAGATGTGGCTTGGTGGTTGAGCACGTCTGGATTCAATCCCCACTACCTCCTCCCTCCCAAATGATTACTTTTGATGTAGCACAGAAAGGGAAATATTTGATTGTAAAATTACATGAGAATGAAAATAATGTTTGAATATGGCCATTATTAAAGTTACTATTTTTATTTATTTATTGATACCAGGAATTGAACTCAAGGGTACTCGACCACTGAGCCACATCCCCAGTCCTATTTCATGTTTTTGTTTAGAGACAGGGTCTCACTGAGTTGCTTAGCGCCTCACTGTTTCTGAGGCTGGCTTTGAACTCCAGATCTCTTGTCTCAGCCTCCACAGCCACTGAGATTACAGGTGTGCACCACTGTGCCCAGCTTAAAGTTACTATTGTTGATAAATTTATTTTTGTCATTTATTTCATACAGTAGCAATGTATTTATTCTTATTTATAGTATTTTATTCCCAGTTTTCATCTATGATAATACTTGGATGCTCATAATGTGTTAGACTACAGACAACTTTGTTTTCCCAGAAAACAAAGAATATTCAAAACTGCAACAGATTCTCCTATATCTGTATACCATTTATTTTAGTTTTAATTATCACAAGTTTTTCAAACATTAACTTGTAGATTTTATATTAAGAAGTTAAGGGGTTGTGTGTGTGTGTGTGTGTCTGTGTCTTTGTTTTCATCTTCTGCTGAGGTCCAGAGTTTACATTGGCTCCACTTTAATCACTCTCATCAGCCACCTCCTCCTAATCCTATGGCATTCACTCAGAACTTAATGTGGAAGCAGGATTGCTGATTCTGCCAATGTGTTTGCCATTCCTCTTCCCCTATCACAGCCTCTTCCACACAGGTGTTCATCTGGAGAGGTGGATGATTGTTTCCTCCTTGGGGCTGCTGCTTAGGAGCGAGGCAGCTCCACAGGTAAGATGATTGGATAGTTTTGATATTGCCTTATTTTGTAAAATAGTAGGTATCATGACATATTTGGTTCTAACTCATTATGTCCTATCCTCCTATGTAGAATTGAAAACTTGGGGGAATTAATGGATTAAGTTGTTTAGATATTTGAAAGTTAGTTAAATCTTTTATTAACCCTGTTGCATTTACCCTAAACATGTTATTCTTAGTAAATATATATTAAGAATATGAAGTATTATTTTGTCTCCCTTCTATCAGATATTGTGTTTGTCAAGTTTCGTTTTATGTTCTTTTAAAAATATTGGTAAAGAGCCAGGTGTGGTGGTGCATGCCTATAATTCTAGCAGCTCAGAAGGCTGAGGCAGGAGGATCTTAAGTTTGAGACCAGTCTCAGCAATGTGGCAAGCAAGGCCCTAAGCAACTTAGCAAGACTGTCTCTCAAAATTAAAAGTAAAAAGGGTTGGGGATATGCTTGAATGGTTAAACACCCCTGGATTCAATTCTTAGTAACTATATCTATATCTATATTTATATCTATATATCTATATATCTATATATCTATATATATATATATATATATGCATATATATGTAGAGAAGAAGGATATCAAGATTTGCATTTCACTTTGAAACATTAATTTACACTGTAGTAAAGCTCACCGTATAAAATAAAGACCAATTATTTTATACTACCATGGGGAAAAATTACCTAGAAGGCTCTAATACTTATCTCAACCTTATAGTTTTCAAATTATCTTTACTGTGAAAATACCAGTGTTGTATCACACTGGTGTATTGCATAAAATACCACATATATATAGCAAGTCTGTAAATTAATTAGTGTATGGGGAAAGTATAGTTATTCTGCTTTTAAGTTATAATTTTAAGAAGATGTTCAGTGAATTAATGAAAACAAAGGTACTTATAATCTCCTTTTTATTATGTACATTTCTTTATTTTTTCTTTAGTAGGTTTGCATTGTACAGAAGCACTAGTATAATTTTACCACAGTTTTGATTTTACCACAGATCAGTGGAACAAATAGTAATGAACCTAATTGTATATAAGCTAAATATAAGATAAATGATAACACTTCAAATCTGAGAGAATATGGGAAAAACCGAACAATCATTTGGAAAAAAATTGAAATTACTAAACCATATTAAATTCCAGAAATATAAAAAACTTAAATGTGTATTTTAATATTTATAAATGCTTGGAGGATGAAAAACTTTCAAAGCAAGATAATCAAGCCACAAATAAATTTTACATAAAGTATAAAATGGATAGGTCTTATATTCAATTTTGTAATAGTTGATATAGAAAGTTAAAAGGCATAAATGAAAACAAACAACCCTAATGAAAATATGGCAAAGAGGACATATAGTCCTGTGTAACTATGTGATTAGTCCTAGTGACAGATAAGACAAGGGGGAAAAAAAGGAATTCTTATAAAATACTATAAAATTAATAGAAAGTCAGTATTGGATTACCATAAAGGAAAAAAAATGGTAATAGGAGCATTTAATAGTTCATCTTGCCTAGTAATGAAAATTTTTTAATTAAAATCAAACCAAACTCAATTAAATCAAAATCAAACAACCCTAAAATATCTATTGATTAGTTTTTCAGAGATATAAAAGGTTGATGATGATATGCAGCATTTAAAATGATTTAGAGAAATACTCTCCTATCCTTTTGCCTTGTGTATAAATTGATTTTTTCAGAAGAGAAGTTTGTGATTGTATGTGAAATTTTAAAATGTTAAAGACCTTCTGATTCAGCAGTCCCTCTTATCTAGCAGCTCTGTTAGTAATTTAACTTAAAAGGTGAATAGGACAGTTTACTTATGATAATGACACTTAGAAATACTTTCTTTATCCATTGAAACGGAATTGGAAAAATAAATTTATCATATCATATAACTCATACGGTTAATGGTTATACATCATAATGGTTATATCACATAGTTATTTAACTTATACAATGATTTCTATGATATAACCATTTTGAATATTAATGTAATTGATGAAAATAATAGCAGCTAACACATAGCATTTATAATATGAGGCACTATTCTAAGCACTTCATTGACATCGAAAGACATGTATACTGTTTTTTAAATTAATTTTTATTGGTGCATTATAACTACACATAACAATGTATTCATTATGACATATTTGTATATGCCCACAATTTGGTTAATTTCATTCCCCAATATCTTCCCTTTCCTTTCATCCTCCCTTCCTCCTCCTTCTAATCCCCTTTCTCTTCTCTATTAGTTTCTTTTCTATAGAAATATTCTTAAATAAAAGAATTTTTTGTTGTTGGTTAAACAACAAATAAATATGTATATATAGAGAGATAATCACACATTTATATGTTTGTGGAGGGTGTATGTCTGTATGTGTGGGAATAGTCAGAGGAAAATGCCTCTTAATGATTATACGCTAAATAGTGCTATCTGCAGATTGTGAAATCACTGATATAAGTTAAATAACTTATGTGATGTAAACATTTATTTTCTTTCATTATACCTTTTTATTTAGCATTTTTTTATTTAGCATTTATTTAGTATTTAGCAGTTATCATCTTTTAATGATATACTTAACAAATAATTATAATGAAAGTATCAAAAAACTGTTGAAATTATAAAATACTTTTAATCAATTTGATCTTTAAAATTGTTTTAAGATAAAATATAACCATTATAATAAAGATAATATATTTCATTTTTGTTAGAATGAAAAAAAACTTGAAAAAGAGAAAAAGAAGCAAACGATGGAGAAAGAGAGTGATGGTTGCCCCTTGAAACATAAAATGGAGCATGAGCAAATACAAACAGAAAACCAGACTGGTGAAAGTAGCCAAAAACACAGTGAACTTGAAATAGTAGAAAATTATAAGGAGGCATTAACACAGCAATTGGAGAATGAAGATGAGACAGATCATCGATCATCAGAATCAGGTATATCTAGTTATGTAAAGTAATTTTCATATATTTAAATATAGCTTATTTATACTTTACTTCCTGTATCATTTATTTTCACAAAAAAATGTAGTTTACTTTTTGTCTCCAAATGCAGTAGTATGATACTTTCCAGGTTTTTAGTTAATCATTAACCACTTTTTTCTTCTCCTAACATGTTGTTTTCATGCTGAGTTTAAAATGTAATCTTAAAGTTTAAAGCGTAAAATGAATTCAGCAGAAAATTCAGTTTTCAGTTTTACTTTCATAAGTTTGTGATACAGTATAGTTGCCAGGAATCCATAGAATTTATTTAACTTTTTTAAGGCTTTTTTGTTTTGTTTCTTAAGCCTTGTAATGATTCAATCAACATAACTTCCTTTATAGTCTGACTATTTCTATAGGATACAAACATAATTGGTAGAATGTCTTTAAAAACTCTTGTCAGGGGCTATGGGTACAGGTCAGCGGTAGAGCTCATACTTAGTATGAGTAAGGCCCTGAGCTCAATCCCTAGTACAAAAGAAAAAAAGATTTGTCACTATTTTAATGTTATACAAAATCTTTAACTTATAATTACTTTGCTTTTTCTAATTGGTGATGTGATTGAACAGAAAGTTCATGTCTCTCATTGTCATAGAGAAAGAGCCTGTATTTGGAATCAAGCAACCTGAGAGGGAACCCTGACTTTCCCATCTATTAGGTATATGTTAGGTTATGTAATATTCTCCAGACTTAATTTCTTCTTTTCTAATATGGGAATGAGTATCATTTTTATTGACAAGGCTTTTATAGTTACTTATAAAATAACTATAATGTTCTTCCACAATGTCTGCCAATTGGGAGATACCCAATAGTTACTACTGTTCCCTTGCTATTCCTAGTTACAGGTCTGGTTTTATTATATGTAAGAATTTTTGTTTTCACTTTTTTCTTTTTGTTTTTTATTTATATATGACAGAGGAATGCATTCCAAATCTTACACATCTAGGGAATAATTTTTCATATCTCTGGTTGAATAAAAGTATATTCACACCAATTCATGTCTTCATACAAGTACTTTGGATAATAATGATCCTCACATTCCACCATCATTTCTAACCCCATGCCCCCTCCCTTTCTTTCAATCCCTCTGTCCTATCTAGAGTTTGTCTATTCCTCCCATGCTCCCGCTCCCTATTCCACTATGAATCAGCCTCCTTATATCAAAGAAAACATTCAGCATTTGGTTTTTTGGGATTGTCTAACTTCATTTAGGATTATCTTCTCTAACTCCATCCATTTACCTCCAAATGCCATGATTTTATTCTTTCATTGCTGAGTAATATTCCATTGTGTATATATGCCACATTTTTTAATCCATTTATCTATTATTGAAGGGCATCTAGGTTGGTTCCACAGTTTAGCTATTGTGAATTGTGTTGCTATAAACATTGATGTGGCTGTGTTCCTCTATTATGCTGATTTTAAGTTCTTTGGGTATAGACCGAGGAGATGGATAGCTGGGTCAAATGGTGGTTCCATTCCCAGTTTTCCAAGAAATCTCCATACTGCTTTCCATATTGTCTGTACCAATTTGCAGTCCCACCAGCAGTGTATGACTGTACCTTTCCCCCCACATCCTTGCCAATACTCATTGTTGTTTGTCTTCATAATAGCTGCCATTCTGACAAGAGTGAGATGAAATCTTAGTTTTGATTTGCATTTCTCTAATTGCTAGTGATGATGAATATTTTTTCATATATTTAGTTTTCAAAGAACTACAAAGTTCTGCTGAATTGAAATGGTTACCAATTCCTGTGGTTGCTAAATATCTACATGTTATTACATCATTGGGGCCTTCTAACAGTCAAGGTTCAACCTGAGACAAACCAGCAAGAAACTTACAAATTCCCATCTCTCACCATGCACAAAACTCAACTCAAAATGGATCAAGGACTTAGGAATAAAACCAGAGACCCTGAGTCTAATAGAAGAAAAAGTAGACCCTAATCTCCATCATGTGGGATTAGGCCCCCCAACTTCCTTAATAAGACTCTTTTAGCTTAAGAATTAAAATCAAGAATCAATAAATGAGATGGACTCAAACTAAAAAGTTTCTTCTCAGCAAAAGAAATGATCTGTGAGGTGAATAGAGAGCCTACATCTTGGGAGCAAATCTTTACCCCTCACACATCAGATAGAGCACTAATCTCTAGGGTATATAAAGATCTCAAAAAGTTAAGCACCAAAAAAACCACAAATAACCCAATCAATAAATGGGCCAAGGATCTGAACAGACACTTCTTAGAAGATGATATATGTAAGAATTTTTAAAAGTATATAGGGTTTATCAAAATAAATTCTCAGTTCTTGAAGTGCAGAGTAACTAACATGCATGTTTTCTTTGATTAAAAATGTTAGATTTAAGTTGTACTTTTTGTCATCACTTGGGAGATTAGAGTAGTCATCTTCATATCCATATAACTCTATCAGCACAGTATTAAATGAAGGTAGACTTATTACAGTGGTCTCAGTTTTTTAAAAGGACGCTAACACTGATAACATTGAAGAAAAGTGATTTAGCAAATGACTTTATAGTTTAGGAAGATCTGAGATAATAAATCATAACCATAATAATAATTCACATTTTATGCTTTCAAAGTATGACTTCAGGTTATTTGAGTTAACACAGCCTTATGTTATTTATCATAATAATACTGGGGTATGAAACTCCCACTATGTAAGTAGGAAACTAGGGACTTGGAGAGGTTGAAAAACTTCATATGTCATATTGGTGGCTGGGCTGAGACCCCAGTCCAAATCATATTTTCACATTCTATCCTCTTCCATCACCTGAACTACTGCCCATCCTAAAGTACCATATGTTTTTAGAGCTCTCATTCCATTTGCCCATCTGTTAAGCCTATAACTTTAATAGTAAAAAGATTACTTTATTTCTATCTGGAGTAAAATGTCACAAAGGACACTAACATTAATAAAAAGTTTCCTTTTAAATATGATGTTCTTCTTTCTGTTTTGTAACCTTAAAGATTTTGACTATTTCTCATGTTCAGATAATTCCCATTTTATAAAATGTGTGTAATTTCGCAGTTAGGAATTGTTATTTAAAATATTTCAGTAACTTTGATGGTCAGAATTTTTAATTACTATGCCACTCTGGTTTTACATTGTTAAAATTTAAGCGTCAATATATCATATCCTTAAGGTGTTTTTATGCGTTTATGAGTCTGTAATTTGTTTGTTTGTTTATTGTAGAAAGAACAGAAATTTAATTCGGCCTGGTCTACTGATTTTGGTTACATATATTTATTCTTTAGGTGTTAAAGAGTAATGTATTTAGATTGGGTTCGGATTTTTTTCCTCATATTTCAAAGCATTATTTTTGGACTATTTATACCTATAGTCATTCTACTTATTCCTCTGAGAAAAGTCAACATCTTTCCTCTTTCCACTAGCCATTCTGAGTTTTATGGAATTCCTACAACTAGACAATTATATGTGTTTAATATGACATTTGGAAGAAATATAAATTGCTTTTGGAAATGAGAAGGTATTTTTATATTCTAAAAACCTCTCTTAGTATTTAAAGTAGACTTTTGGATATTTTGTCATATTTGTTCCATAAGCTATTACTTTAAATATTTATTTTTACTAAATGCAAGTTCATATTTTGTTATTGATAACAATTTCTGTGAAGTTGAATATGAGGTTTCTATTGTAATATCAATATTCTCCTTTTATTCATTGTTTTCTATTATAGAAGTTTACTTTTTCCCAAAGGGTTTAATGTTTTTCAATGATAGAAGTTCACTTTTCCCCAATAGTATAAATAAAATTCCATGTTTATATTCTTATAGATAACAGTAAAAAGAAAACTAAGAAACTGAGAATGAAAAGGAGTCACCGGGTAGAACCAGTTAATACCGATGACTCTGCTCCTAAGAGTCCAACACCACCTCCCCCTCCCCCTCCTGGTGAGTAAATTGATACTGATACTGAATTTAGAAATATTGCTTTAAACAATGGAGGAGAGGGTGAAGGAGGAAAGAAAGAAAAAGAAATTATATAGTTTTTCATTATTTTGTGAATTTGTGAGAAAGGACTGTACTCTCATGGTACAAAAATCTGTCAATTAATTATTCATTTTCATAAAAGAAAAAAGGTAAAAACTATCAAGAAAATCTTAATAATTCCTAGAGTGTGTTCAAGCTATATTAAAAATATCAGTTACCCAGATTGTAAGAGGAATTTAAGTTTAATGAATAGATGGCTAATGAAATCTTTAAAAAAATTGGACCTTTCTTCCTGAAAGTTACCTAGATGTATGAGTTTTCCTAGTTTGAATCCAACATATACACAGGATTAATTTATATTATATTCACATAAAGAAGCACTGGGACATAACTACACAATAATTGTTAGCAACTTTTTAGCACTAAATACATAGTACCTCATCTACTATATGTGCTCAATAAATACCTGATGACTAACTAAATGTTTGCAGTGTCCTTGCAGCCATGCCACAAGGCTTGTTATGGTAACATTTTTCTTTAAGAATTTGTTTAAAATTCATTTTTAGTATTCAATTTAACAAGAAAACATTTATTTTAGCCTCTGCTAGGTATTCAAATGGTAGTCTAAAGCTTATCGAAGTTGGTTAAGAGGTTTGTTTTTAATGAAAGGTGAATAAAAACTTAAAGCAGATGTTAGCAGACTTTAATTACATTTTGAAATAGAAGCCATTTAAAATGGGTTTATAGATATTCAGTATTGTGTCATTTAGTACATTTGAATTGACATTGAATGGTATTTATACTTCCTGTGGAAGGAGAGATCCTCTTATCAGACCCCCCAAAATTTGTTTAACAGTGTTTTTAAATGTGTTTCTTTTTCTTTAGTTGGCTGGGGAACCCCCAAAGTCACTAGACTTCCAAAACTTGAGCCTCTTGGTGAAACACGTCATAATGGTAATGCAAAAGGATCAGTTTTCAGATATCATCTGTTCATATTGCATTCACTTTTCTTTACCTCATAACTTCAACAAGCTTAATATTTTATTTTTGGAAACCTTTCAAACAAACTGCCATACTTTTTCATTATACTTTTCCCTTTTTTTTTTTTTTTTAAATTCACTCTGCATCTATGTAATTTGATTTTTGTTTACCTTGGAATACAAAGGTAAAAGGAATCATACTTCTGTTTATTCATGATATACCAATAGTTATGGAAAGGAAAATTTTTTAAAACAACTTTAATGTGACACAGTACAATTAAACTCATGGTGTTTAAAAAAAAAAAAAAAAGCCGTACTGTTCTATAAATATACAGTAGGCTCTTTGATAATGCCATATAATTTTTTTTCTTTGTTTTCTGAATAAGACACCTCGCTGCTGAATATTAAAATTTTGAAGAGAGATCAACACAGTCTATAAAATCAGAAATCAAGTCAGTAAACCAAATAAAGTTCAGCTAAATGAAGAGAAAGTCACCAAAGGCTTTATTGGAAAAAATAATTTTCTTTAATGAGATTAACATTAACTAATAGTCTTTATAGCATTAGAATTCCTGGAAGCAAAAACTAGAGAAAGGACCAGTTGTAGATAGTAGAGAACCTAGGGAGAGGAAGTTGCAGATCATCAGCTAGATTTTTTTCAATAAGATATTTTTAGAATGCAAAAGAATATTTATACATAATTGTAGCTCACTAAATTTGTTCAATCAGAATATCCAGTTCCCTTTCTGATAACTCTGTTTGATGATTCTTGATGACTCTCTGACCCACTATAAAACTGTATTTCATAAGGAGAGTACATACCAGAAGAAATTGTAAGTTCAGTTGTCAGAAAAGCATTACCATAAAATTTGATATTATATCAAAATATATTAAATATTTTATTCAAAATATATGAATATAATGTGCTATTTGCTTTCTCTTTCAGAATACTATATAGGTCAATAATTAAATATTTCCTAATAATAAAAATTGGAAGGTTTAGTTTTACATTTTTAAAAACAGAAATTGTTTTAGATTATTTGAAAAGTATTGTTGTTTCAGTGGAATCACATATGTCTGTTTGGTTTACTAATTTTAATATCATGATGTTTTTAGTGATTAAATCAGGTTAATTACTGCTATTATACAATTCTTTATGTACATTAGAATATGTGATCAGTTTAAATATTAATATTAGAAAAACTGTAATATCAATGTTTATCATATATATATACACACACACACACACACACACACACACAATTCTCGTAAGATAGATATTTGTTCCCATACTGAATTCATCATTCAACAAAAACCTGTTTTATATTTGACACCAGCCAACATGTTTGTAATACCAATGAATAAGAAACATATACTGCCTTTATGGAGATCTCTGTGTAAGAGAGAAGATACTTCAGCATTCTTAGTATATGACAATATGTTCTGTGGTTCAGCATTATTATGCACAGACTGCATCAGAAGTTAGGGAAAGTGGCATTAGAACTGGGTCTTCAGAGCGATAAGATTAAGAAGCAGAAGAAAGAGACTGTCAAGAGATGGAGAGCCAGAATTGTGGCTCAGTAGTAGAACACTTGCCTAGCATGAGTGAGGCTCTGGGTTCGATCCCCAGTACCACATAAAAATAAACAAATAAAATAAAGGTGTTGTGTCCATCTACAACTAAAAAAAAAAAAAAAAATAGAGATGGAGGAAAGAACATGGTTTATTTGGAAAATAGTTTGTGACTGGAGCTTAAGTTTATGCATAGAATAGGTAAAAAAGAGAAAATGTTAAAATTACAGAGAACATTCAAAATGGAATTCTGGCTTAGGACTAGATGATGAAGATCTTATATGTTAAGATACCTGGACTTGCTTTAATTTTTAAGAGATAATATTCATTTTTAGCATGGGAATAGTAATTTTAGATTTGATACTTGTTTTTCTAACAATTTTTGTCACAGTGTATGGAATACAGAAACAATTTCTATTAATATGTATCAAGTATAAACTTGATTATCACTACTTGAATCTCAGGAGGTTGTTACAGTGATCAAAGTAATAAATAAGGAATGGAAATTGAAATGAAGAATAAAAGGTGTATATGTAAAGAATACTTTAATAATTATAAGAAGTAATATTTGATGAATGGAGGTATGGGTTGAGGGCAAGAGAATAGAGTATAATTTGACTCAAGGGGATATAAGGTTGGTGATATGGCTGAGATTAAAAATATATCAAGAGAAAGGAAATCTTTTTTTAGAGAGACATATAGAGATAGACAAATACAGACATAGGCTTATCTGTCCGGACATGTCTAAAGGCCAGTATAAAGTAAGATTATGGAGTTTAGGAGAAAAGTGATTCATATGGGGGAGTTGGGGAGAATATGTAGGTAGGTTTTTTCCCCCCAGCTGTCTTTATACAATAGGAGTACTTTGTACATAACAGATACTCTGTAATTGTTTCTGAATGAATGTGATTGAGGGAATGATGGTTTGCTATTTGTGAGAAAAAGAATGTCTAATGAGAGACTAAAAATTGATAGTGGTATTCAGAGTAAGCAATACAATTAAGAAAAACTGGAGAAAGAGATTGAAAACGGGCTAAGAAGGGTCTCCCTCCTGCCCCTCACTTAAATCAGAACTACTTGGAAAGAATTATAGTGAGTTAGTTAAGTTTAAGGCCACTATATTCTAATAGTTTTAGTTAGTTTTCAGTTTGTCAAATGTTTGCTTCCCAGTGGAGAAGATATTTTATATCTTCACGTGTTAAGTTTAGATACATTTCTGTGCCTTTATATCTAGAAGTATTTTGACAAAAGGTTTATGACAAGTAGACAAAAAGTGCATAATCAACTAGAGTAGATAGTAAAATAATTAATAATTGATCCCAGCAGCTTAGGAGATTGAGGCATGAATTCAAAGCAAGCCTCAGCAAAAGCAAAGGCACTAAGCAACTCAATGAGACCCTGCCTCTAAATAAAATACAAAATAGGGCTAATGATGTGGCTCAGTGATTGAGTGCCCCTAAGTTCAATCCCTTGTACCAAAAAAAAATTAATAATTGAGCATCTATGATACTGTTTTAATTATAGAAAAAATGACAAAACTATGTATACCATGTACGTACCATTGTACTTAAGAAAATTTAATTCCCCCCAAGTAAACTTTTAAGATGGGCAACAGTATCCCAGTTTTTAGCATGAGGAATATTACGTAGCTAATAACTGGCAGAACCAGGATTTGAACTTAGGAGTGACCAGCCTTGAAACTCATACCTTTAACTCATAACCTAAGTTATACTGTTATATAATATTTGCTAAAGCATGCTTTCAGTTTAATATTTTGCTTTGAAATCATGTTTTTTTAAAATTTTTTTTGGTAATGGAGATTGAACCCAGGAGCACTTAAACACTGAGCCACATCCCTACCCGCCAACTCCTGCCTTTTTTTTTTTTTTGAGACATGGTCTCACTAAGTTTTTTAGGGCCTCAGTTGCTGAGACTGACCTCGAACTTGCAATCCTCCTGTCTCAGTCTCCTGAGATGCTGAGATTGTAAGTGTATGCTAACACACCCAGCTGAATTTATACTTGATTTAAAAAATTCTGTGTATGTGTATGTGTAGTGATCTTAATCACCTATGCTTCTAGAAAAAAAAAAAAGTTAATAGGCCAGAAAGAACTTAACTGAGAGTTATATATGCCATTAAATTTATAAGCCAATTATTATAATTAAGGAATTGAAATTTATGAAGGGCACATTTTTTTGTGTAAAATATGCACCAAGTCACTGAATTGTATTGAAGTATTATTATAAAAGAGTTCAATTTGATTCTCCTAAATTACATAGAAATAACAGTCTCTGGATAAGAACATGTGTACAGATGCTAATTTACCAGGCTCTTACTAGCAAGTTCTATAGATTTTGAATTTTTTATGTTTGTTCTGTTCTTATGTGGATGTGTAATTGGAAAGAAAAATAATAATAAATGTAACCATTTAGTGCAGGTTTTTACTAAGTCTATTAGAAGTTACCCTGGTTGTTATGTTTTAAATTTATTCTGTTTTTTTATACATTCTGGGTTTTGTTTTGTTTTGCTTTTTTTTTTCTCTGCCTTCCCATCTATCACCTCACTTGACAAGTCAGTGTGTCTTGTTTTTTAAAATGAATTCATTAAAAAATGATGAACTGTGTCAAAAACTGATGATTATAACTGTTTTGTGTCCATGGTTACCCTTCTTTATGTAGATTTCTATGGGAAGCCGCTGCCTCCGTTAACTGTGCGACAGAGACCTAACGGTGATGCTCATGATGTGATCTCATAACCATGTCATATGGATTGGTACTCTTACTCTCAGCAAAGTGAAATGGACCTCTTCTCAGAAGAAAAAAAAAACCCTTTGAGCATTGATGACTGGGGCAATAAAATCATAATGATTTTAGTGAGGAGATTAATAGCCCAAGGACCTGATCTGATAATTAACTTCTCCATATTCTTCATGCAAAATGACCAGTGGATGGGATGAACAACATTTGGAGCATGTTAACAAGATTTGGTGTTGACTCCTTGGGTTTTATATCCTCACTCATGGGCAAATTCCTGAAGGAAAACTTCTTCAGAAATAGAGCCAATGGACTCTACATACTTTATTATTTGTTTAATAGTCCGTATTTCTATATATTAAACATTTTTGTAAGATACATGGGCATGGAAGGGAAACTCCTGGGAATTTATAAACTAAATTTTTAACTTTTTGTATTTTTCTAAAATTTTTGTTTAATTACTATTATCTTGATTGTGCACTTTTCTACAGATTTTTAAAATTTGTTTGTGGAAGATAAAAGTTAAATTACTTGACAGACATGAACTATACAAACAATATATTTATATGACTTAAATTTTTATAATAGCATTTTTCTAGCCTATAAATCCTAATTTGACTTTATTTTAAAATAATACCTACCTTTTTAAAAAGCAGATATCAAATCTTTATTCTACCAAATTATGTGATTTGAAAGCATTATTCAACGAAAGTGTTCTATTTTATTGTTTTTGTGTTCTTTGATGATAATCTCAATAAATGAGACATAAAATATCTTTATTAACCTATTTTCTTAAGTAATAAAAATGTTCTATGAGATATTATTAAAAGTCCCAAGAAAACCCTGTTTTAAAGGTCAGGACACTTTCAGAGATCAAGGTGTGATCCCTGTTAGGACTGTTCTGTCAGAAGCCACATGAATCTTTTAGGGTATTACAATTCTTTCATCCCTTGAAATTAGAGACAAAAAACTGAAAGAAGCTACTGTAGTTACAGAGACTTATATTTAACAACAAATAACTTGGGTGCTAAAGCAATACAAATTAAAATGTTGGCTCAAATACTGTTGTAAAGAAATGATTCCAAAATATTTCTCAATTTAAAATTTACTTCTCTTGCACTCATAGGATTCTGTCTGTCATTTAGACAAACTGTTAGATATGTATTTTCAGTAAAGGAGTCCTAATTTTCACTTAACTGAAAGCATGCCTTTATATTAAGGTGAAAATAACACAAATAATAATTTCAATACAACTTAGTTAAGACTATTGGGTTTGGTACCTGTACTGACAACAGACATATACTGGTATCTAATAACAACATAAATAAGTATGCCTAAGTCAGTTTAATATAACTATTTACTTTAAGAATTTTGCTTTGAAGCATCACATTTTATTCACATTTTTAACTTCACTGAACTTTTATTATGGTCACTTATTAATCAGAATGCATCAGCATGGCACAGATTCTTGGAGTTGGTACATGGATCTACCTAGCACCTGAATAAGAAAAAAGCATTCTACTTCAGATATAAAATTCATAACAATCTGAATTTGATAGGTGACTAAAATATGAGGAAAAGCATCACAGTAAGACAGCATGTAAATTTTGAAATTAATTTTATAGGAAAAAATTGCTTACATTTTTGTTCCTTTTGTAACATTTACTTTTATTCATTTTTAAAGCTAAACTCAAACTTTTGCTATATTTTTAATATTCATTTATTTGAGAGTAAAGATAGATTTTTAAAATTTTTATCCTACCAATGTTTACTGGTAGAATACAGTAATTGCTGACTCCATTTTGTAAAACTAAAAAAGATTAAAGTAGCATAAAATGGAATTAATATTTCATATAGCTCCTTCAAAAGTTAGTTTTCTTAAAGCATTCTAAAATACTTTAAAAGATGTTTTGTAAATCCAGGTGGATTTTAATAATTAAATGCTATTTTGTTATATGCTGCATTTTTATTCTTAAATCACCATTAATTATGACATTTTCACCCAATAAAATTAATTTATATTCTGTTTTCTCTTGATTTTGGTGAATATAAGTGATTTTTTTGGATAATAAAATGAATAAATGTTTTTCAAATATGATTATTGAAAAAGTTTAAATCAGTAGATTAAAATAATGGACTTTGTTATTTTACACAAAAACATTTTTCTCTGCAAGTTTTTATATATTTGAGATCTAATGTTATTTTTAAAAGCAGCTAAATAAAGAATCAAAGCACTGTATGATTCTAGATTATTCAGTGTCTTTGGTTCCAGCTACTAGCCCACAGATATAATTTTACTTATTTAAAATAATTCCATGTGCTTTTCTTGGAAATTCCATATGTATATGGAATATTTTATATTACATATAATTGATGCCAAGTGTCAAGCTATGGATAGAAACTGCATTAGAGAAACAATGTTGCTAAAACAAAGTAGTGAAGTAATTTTTTAGAGTTATTGGTAGAATGTTTTCCTTAAACTTTTTAATGATTTTGGTAATTTTATTTTTATAATGGAAGCAAATTTATAATTTTGTATAAATTATTTAACTGCCATGTTTTCTTCTAGTTGAAAATCAAATGCTCTTTTAAACAACAAATGAAATTCCAGAATTTACTTAATATGTTAAATTCCTTGCACATAGCCTAGAAAAGATCACCTGTTTAAAACACCTTTATATTTGCAGCTGCTTTTACTAAATGTTCCCTTACTATGACAACATTTTGATTTGGTACTATTTGATATGCCACGCTACTCATGGTATACTCATTCCAATTAAATCCATGATTCCAGGTGGCAAAATCTTTTCAAAAGTAAAACTGCTTTTATAAATAAAGATGTACATTATAAATTTTATCACTCTTGTCTTAATATTGATTATTTAAGTTTTTGGGAAATACAGTCCAGCTGATCCAAAGAACAAATTCAGATATCTCAAAACCTAGATTAGAATATGGCATAGGTTATTAAAACAGCAATTATTCTTTAATTTTTTAGAAACCAAATAATAAAATCTCATTTAAAACATAGGAAGTAAAAAAATGAATTTCCTTTAAATAAACAGATCTGATTTTATTTAAAGAAAAAATTGGAAAAATAATCATTTGCTTCCTTATGGCTTAGATTGTAAATTCCTTTTGTTCACTGATGAGGAAACAGAATTTAAGAAGTGAATCAGTGGTCTCAAAACTTATATAATAGCATCCTATACATTTTTAATGTGCCTTTATGTTTCAGTCATATTAGTTTGCTAGGGCTGCCAGAAGTACCACACACAGTGTGACCTCTTAAACAAAATAAATTTATTTTCTTACTGTTCTGGAGTAGGGAGATCAAGGTCCATGTTGTGGACAAGTTTCCTTTTTCCTAAGGCCTCTTGCCTGCCTTTGAGGTAACAGCCAACTTGCTGTGTCCTCACATGGCCTTTTCTCAGTACTCTTGCCCCTAGTGTCTCTCAGTTTGTCCAATTTTTCTCTTTTTGTAACACCAGTAAGATGGAATTAGGATTCAGCCTTCCAACCTCATTTTCACTTAATCATCTTTTAAAAGGCCTCATCTCCAAATACAGTTACATTCCAAAATATCAGGGATTAGAGCTTCAACATAAATTTTGAGGATACATATTCCAACTTTTATCAGTTACATACATTTCTGATGCACTATTTAAAAATGCATTTTATTTATATACTATATACCCCTCAAAAAGGAAATTAGAAATATTAGATAAAACTTAATAAAAAGAGAAGTCATTATATTTACACTCCAGTTGCAGTGGATTGCCTGCTAGAGTTTAAATACACCACTTTGGAGTCCTAAACTAATAAGAATCTTCAGTAGACATGGAAGATTCCTATAATTATGCTCTTTAGCATTGGTCACAGGCATCTCTGTGTTTTTCTGCCTTACATTTTAAGTAGCTAAGGGTTTTCTTAATGTCAGATTGTTTTACTATAGTGCCTGTCCTCACCTCTATATTAATAGGAAGGATTGAGACATGTTTTATGTAAACATGAAAATTCATAAAGCAGCCAGTGTAGGAGATAGTCCAAAAAGTGTACTTATTCAGAAATTGACTTAATGATAAAAAATGCTTAGTTAGATAAAAGTTATTTTCCTGCCTAAAGTTAAGTCCTTACAAATAATATGGATTAGTTATCTAACAGTATCATTAATTTAAAAAAATGTAATTTCTGGTATTTTTTCAGCTCAATTTCCTCGTGTGTTTTTAGTGACTTAAAACAAGTCTTTTTTCTAGTAGTTTCTATTAGTCAATGTGGAATTTTGTTTATTATTCAATAGCTATTTGAAGTGGAAGGTAAATGAATTAACATTTCATTTACCATACATAATATTGGGTCTTGGAAAGGGACTTTAATATTAAAGATCAAACTATAAATAGAGGGTGGATGAAACAGAATTGGCTTCCTTCTCTGGGAAGAAATTTATATCTTTGTAATTGAATCAATAACAAACAATGGCTACTGCATAAAAATTTAAAGTTATTTCATATTTAAATTATTGTAGGGTGTACTGGGGGTTGAACTCAGGGGCATTCAACCACTGAGCCACATCCCCAGTCATATTTTTTGTAGAGACAGTGTCTCACTTAGTTGTTTAGCACCTTGCTTTCTGCTGAGGCTCTCTTTGAACTCTTGATTCTCCTGTCTTAATCTTCTGAGCCACAGGGATTACAGGCATGGACCACTGCGCCCGGCTAAAGTTAAATACTTTTAAGAAAAATTAGAAAAGTACTTACTTAGAAGTTGAAGATTCCTACAACTTGCTCATTTCTCTAGCACTGGTCACAGGTGACATGGTTAACATCACTAATATAAATGTAATATTAAGACAGATAAATGAGCATGAGCAGGTAATTTTTAAAAATAGCTAATAAGATTTGAAAACATATCCAAACTAAATACACACTTATAAATTGGATTATCAGAAGTGCAGAAAAAAAATTAAGAGAAAAAAAATGTTCATTTTAAACTCAGAAAATAGAACCATGCTGTCACAAAATGATAGAATGTCCTCTTTTCAGGTATATCAATGTTTCCCTAATAGATATACAGCATATTCAATTCTTATTATCTTAAATCTTTTATATTTCTACATTTCAAATATAATACTCATGTATTAATTCATTAGTTGTAACATTCTGAAAGAATATAGAAAAATAATGTGAAATCTCTGCAAGTAGACTGAAAGGTAGATGTGACTCCCCCAAACATCCAATAAAGGGTATTAACTTCTGAAAACCATGTTTTACCAAACCTAAATTCTAATAGATGTATTTTTAGATTGCTGGGAAACTTGTTTAAATATATTATTTAATATATGTAATATAAATTTAAATATATTAAGCTTCAAATTGCATTAGTTGTACTAACGGACTTACTGCTTATACTCAAAATAATAATTCTTATTAAATATCAGAGACCACACTATTTTCTCCCTGATAAATTGCTGATTGTTGCTACAAGAGAATAATGAAAGTGTACACCAATGGAGTAAATAAACTGCTATTTCTATCAGAATGGGTGTAATAACACCTTACTTGTAAACTCCATTCTTGTAAAAATGAGTGGCGAGTCTTGTATGGAGGATCACTTTGCCCTCAGGCATTTGATATCAGAACAAGATAACCACAATGATCATGATAGTGGTACTAATACAGAACAGCACCGAACACGTGGGCATTTATGTCGACCAGTCTCTGTGCTAAGCGCCTTATACGCGTATTTCAATTTAATCTTTTTACATGTTCTTTTCTAAAATGGAGAGATTATTCGCATAGGTCATCCTGGGAAAAAACTATTTCACGACTTAAAGGAGTCATCAAATTTAATTCAGTAGCTAGCTTCGCCCCTAAGGATAAAAGTGTTTACAAAACATAACCCAATAGTGACAGAGATTCAGCCTTTATGGAGCCCACCCACAAAGACAGTTTAGCAGGATGAACTACTTCCTAAACACCAGTCGCCCAACGTCTCTCTCACGGCCGGGTCACGCCCCTGGGCGTCAGTGCAGAACTCTTCCCCGCCCCATTCAACCAAGCGCAGAGCAATTTCAGGTATGCCTCTCGCGGGAGCTAACCTTGTTGCGAGATTTTGAAAGTGCAGGCGATCTGTGTAATATCGCGAGAATTTAAACGGGAAACGTGAGGACATTAAGGGTTTTGGCTAACCGGAAATCTGGCTGTTTTTTCAGTTGGCTGGAAGCTTTTTCATGTGGAGTGTTGCTGACTCTTTTCTGTAAACTCCCTGCAGGATAATGCTGACTCGGGTGAGGCCCTTGAGCCCTGCTGGGCGCCTCTGGCTGAACCAGACTGTACACTACCAAGGAGGCGAGGGAGGGGGGCCTGGATGTGGGAACTTCACCTTTGGCGGTCCCTTGGCGATATTCGGGTTTTTTGATTCCTTGTCTAGAATCCTGGTAATGTTCAGTGCGTGACTTTTGCACTTACACATTCCCTGTTCGCTCCCAAGGTCCTCGGAGAGGACGTCCCTTCCGAGTAATCTGCAGACTTTTTAATACTTGCTCACGTCAAGTTCCCAGCATAATGTAAGCTCCTATAGTGCTGAAACTGTCTTCTATGTTACTGCTGTATCCGGACGCCTAGACAGTGTTACATTTTACTTGGCCCTCTACGAATAAACGAAACAACTGCTGAGTTTCCAGAAAAAACAAAAGGGACATTTTCTTATTTTGAATTAATTCTAAGTGTACGGGAAAATTGCAATGAGTACAGAGTTTTTATGTACCTTTCACGAAGTTCCCCTTGATGCTAACATCTGTGATGGCTTTTAAAAACTAATTTTGTCCTTTAGACATAATTTGTTTAGCACAATTAGATTCTGCTTTAACATTTGCTTCATGATTGGATTACAATTACTTGGGGAAACACTCCTTTAGCATAAATAGGTAAATTTATCAGTAACACGGTTTACAACTCATATATTGTTATAACTCATATATTGCTCCCCCTACAAGAACTAATAATTATCTAAAGATAAAGTGTTCTTATTTTTAGACAGTAAAAAAGATTGTGTTAATATCGAAGTTTAATAAATTTGTAGTATCTTTAATATGTGTCAGCACCTTTTTCTTGTCGTAGTTGAAAGGAAAATCAGAGGGGAAGCTTGCAAAACAGATTTGCAAAGTTGTGTTGGATCATTTTGAAAAGCAGTATTCCAAAGAACTTGAAGATTCCTGGAATACAGTGAGGTTAGTATAATTCATCTCTTGATACTTTATGATTGAGCAGTGGAAGTAAAATATCCAGTATACCTTTTTGGGTGAGGGATGCAGTGAGAATAAAAGATAAAGAAATTTAAACCTGGTTGCACTCTCCTACTGGGACATAGAAAGGAAGAACCAAGAGGAAATAGATAATGAAAAGCAGTGAAAAAAAATTTTGTAGCAATACTAAAAATTAATATGCCCATATCTTGAACAATTGAATTGATCCAGGAAATAGGACTACCTACAAAATTAGTTATACTGTAACATAAGAACGTTAAAACTTTGAAGTCAACACTGCTTTATCTCAGGAAAAGTCAATTTATTCAGTAGTTTTATTTCTTCCCTGTTATGTCTATGGTTAGCTCTGTTTTGAACATACATACACATGTGCATATATAAATAAAAATTCTTTAAATGTATTATAAAAGCAAACATTTAATGCATAAAAGGAAATGAGAAAAATTGGTTTATATCTTTGGTGAGCTTTGCTGTTGACCAGGATGTTGTTCTATGGGTTGATTCTGAGTGCCTCATACTGTATATTTAATGCCCTAGGAATACGAAGAGTAAGATAGTCATTATGTTCCATTTGCATGTAGTCTAGTGTTCTTAGGGGGAATGAGGTGAGAGGCATGGTTATAGCTATGTACACTGCTAATTGGTAAGTATCATAATAAAAATAGACAGGAGTACCCTGTTTTACCTTTCAAAGCCTGAGAGCGCCAGTGAAAGCCTGAGAAAATGCCAAGTCTTGGTATCTTGGAGGAATTACTTTGGATTAAGGAACCAGACATTTTCAGCTGAGGGGAAAAAGGCAAAAATATTATTATTCAAGGCTGTGGATAGTATCTGGAACTTGATTCAGGCAGTGGTTTCTCATGTTGTCTTATTTCACCTTTTCTTGAATTAATAAGTGTATCTTCTTTACAAAGGACAGCTTTAATCATTTTTTTTAAACAAAGATTAAGTCATGGCTAATGAGATAATAATCTGGAATTCTAATATAAGTTTTAAACAAATTAAGCTATTTAGGAATCAGTATAATATGAAAATGTATATATTTGTTTTTATTTCAAAACTGGATTTCAAAATGTGTATTTCCGAGATTAAAGAATGACCAGTGACAATTATAATCAATTCATTAGGCTTCTGGTATACAAAGGTAATCACATGGAATATGCAGACATCTTGCATGCTTATTATATGCCAGACAATACTGACGTAAGTGATCCTTAAACCTATGAGATTTGTTTTTCATTCTTCATCTGATGGTACTGCAGAGTTTAAATAACATGTTCCAATTCATTCAGTTTAAGTAGCAGAATTGGGATTTGTGCTGAGGTTCTCGGACTCAAGACTTCCCCCTGCTAACCTTTAGTCTGCATTTCATACCTGGGATGTAATAGGCATACTTAGATGATTTAAAAACAAAAAAAAAGATTTTTAGAAGTCTTCTGTTGGCCGACTTTTAGTAATCTGGCTACTCGTTCCTTATAATGAGTTATTTTTCTCTTTAGTGTGTTCAGACAGACTTATAAATTATTATTTGACCCTAAACAACATGAGCAATGAACCACAAACACATTTAATTAGCTGTGCCTTCTGCTTCATCTACCTTTTTGTTCAGTTTTCATGGTAAGTTAAGTTTTGCATAAACGTGCTAAATTTGCAGTAGACAAAATAAAGGTTTTCTCAGAAAGTAGTTTGAACATGGAAGATAGCACAGGGAATAAGAAGAGAATCACATATTTTTGTTTAATTGTTTATTTGCAAGAAATAATATTGTTCTTGTAGTCTATTTATATCCAGGGGGAAGTGGAATGCTTTTTTTTCCTATCTAGAAAGTAATTTACACAATATCTTTAGTTTCCTATAATAGTGGTAAAGATTTAGTATTTAATTTTACTGGTTTGTAATGACCTTTCCTGCCAAGTCCCTCTGAGAAGTTCTTTAAATCTGAAGTTTACCCTGGTTCAGTTTTTGCTCTGCATATTCTCTTTCAAGGAAGTCTATTCGGGACATGAGTGTAGATTTTAATCAATGTGGTATCATCTCAAACTATGCAATTCTTTCCAAGATTTAGCCTCATTCTTCTAAGTGTTTTCTAGCAACTAAGTTGTCATATTCAGCAAACTCAAAAGCATGTTATTTTTCTCTTCTCAACCTGTGTTATCTTTGTTACTTGCATATTCTATCTCAGTTGAAGACATTACTTTCAGTCCAGGTACCTCCTTTTTCCTCTACACCTTCAGTACCTTTGTAGTAAATAGTGAACCTTACTCAAAAGCAAGTCTGGCATTTCCACAGCTCTGGGGAGATAATCTCTAAGTTCTCGAAATGTATCTGTGAAGAATATCTTTGTTTAGCTAGAATCTTTGGCCATACTTAATAGTCTTAACAATGTAATTTATAGGAGTACAGACCACAGTGTAAGCTCAGCCTCTAGAGGAGCTGGAGACTGAAAGCAGTATGAGCAGTCAGCTATGCTTTAATTAAAACTGAACACCAGGGCTGGGGATGTGGCTTAGTGGTAGAGTGCTTACCTGGCATGCGTAAGACCCTGAGTTCTATCCCCAGCACCATTCACTCACACACACACACACGCACACACACACACACACACACACACAAATTTAATAGGCAGTAGAAAACAAAACAACATCAGAAATTGATATAAGGGCTTAGATGAGCATCTCTGTTTGGAAGTATTTCTGTGCATATTGTTACACATTGTTGCCAGGAAAAAAGTTAGCCTTTTCCATTGTTTCCAGTGCAGAGGATAACTAGAAGTTTCATGCTTTGAACTTTTGTGGACTCTGTACCATCAATCTTTTCCTATAACTGATTTTAATCTATATACTTTTTCAGTAAAAGATGGTAACTATGAGTTTAAAAGCTTCCAGTGAGTTCTATATGCTCTTCTAATGAATAAACAAACTTGAGAATGGTCTTGGGGATCCCTGAAATTACAGTTTGTGTCAGAAATGAGAATGGTCTTGGTGACTCCGTAACTGTGTACTGCCAAACACCATTACCCTTCTCTGTCAAAATCTAAAATAGTTACCAAAGGTTGCTGCTTCCTCCTGAGAAATTTCTTAATTTGGACATCCTTTTCAACTCTACAGCTTCTATTTAATCAGGCCTTCATCAGATTTTTTACCTGGCATATTATAGCTGAATCTCCCACCTTCTTATTTTAGCAACCACTTTTATGGCACTTTAGAAATAATTTCACTCTTAAGGTAGTTCTTTCCATTTATAGATAGGAAAGATGAGGCATACAGAAGTTAAATAACTTGCTGAAGAATACACGATTCAGAGTTTATTCACTCTGCCATGCTGCTTCTCAGTATTGCCATATTATATTTTATCACTCCCAAGGTACACACCTTTGCTTCCTATCTCGCTGTAATGTTACATTTGAACCAAAAATTTTTTCACATCCAAGGAGCATAAGGAGACTCCTTCATGATTTTGGTACTGGTTCCTTCTAGTAGGAATGCCCTTCCTTTTCCCTCTGGTTAAGAATGTGTATTCACATCCCATTTCAGCATCTTGTAGCACTTGACCTCAGGTAAGTTATAAAACATCTCTATATTTCACTGTTTTCTTTTGGAAAACATGAAAAAACAGTATCTATTTCATATAGTCACTTGAGACAGGAAATTTATGCACACACATGAACAAAATTCTCAGAATATTGAATGACATCTAATAAGCTCTCAATATATATTAGCATTATTTTATTTTATTAACAATTTCATCAATCTTTCCCCTTTGTGTTTTCATTGCATTTAACTTGATATTTTTTAACTGTCAATACTTTATATTGTTAAAAGTTTTCTAATTTGTATATTTTTTCCATGACAAGGAAAAAACAATATCTTGGACAAGCAATCACTTATTCACAATTTAGTGAGGATTTATTTATGCCCCAAGCACTGCTGTGCAGTTATGATACATAAATGCACTGTATATATATTCTGCCCCCAAATAGACTTATGAGGGAAGGATTAATTGGAAATCTTTATGAACTTTGAAAGTTTTATGTGCATTTTATTGAAAATTTAAAAAAGCCCAAACATTTCACTCTGGTATCAGTGACTCATAGTTCACATATAAAAGGAAGGGGAAATTATATACCTAGTTAATATCACCAGAATTTGTGAAGAGGTTATAGAGGTGGATGGTTAAGGAAGAGAGAAAACAACTAGTATTCAGATTTCTATTTTGTTCTAGCTTAGTTTTACATCTACTTTCAACCTTAATTTTTTCAAATCTTTACAGTAATTTTTAGCCCCTTTTAAATTCAGAAGTTAAAACAATTCATTGCTGGATGTTTCACACTTAGGACAGATCCAGACCTGTGACTTAATAATCCCATGTTTTTTCTTCTACCATTTGTGCTACGATGAAGGGTTTGGGGTCTCATCCTTGGAAATGTATGCATTTCAGTTATATGGGGGACTCGTTATAGCCAGTATTTTTAGACTTTTGTCATCTTCACTGGAAATACAAATCCTCACCCATAATTTCCTTTCTGAGGTACTATGGATAACAAAACTGCCATAAATTGCCCTTGTATGAGAAATAAGGAAGAAACCTCACCAAACAAAAATAGCGTCATCAATTCATTATTAGAATTTCTTTTTTTTAAAATATTTTTTTAGCTATACATGGACACAATAGCTTTATTTTGTTTATTTGTTTTTAATGTGGTGCTAGGATCAAACCTAGTGCCTCACATGTGCAAGGCAAGCGCTCTGCCACTGAGTCACCACCCCAGCCCTCATTATTAGAATTTCTGTAGAATAAAAATTAAATATACTTTGATGCATTTCCATAAATTAATTTATTTTCTGACCACACATGTAAAATGATCTGGAGCACCCTCTGGTGGATAATAATAGCACTGAAATGAGGAATTTCTATTTTTTTAACAATGGAAATTTAAATTTTTTTCTGAAATCTATAGGGTTATGCCAATTGTTCTTAGCCATTTCTAGATAAAATTCTTGTTCTCATTTTAAATTAGAAAGTTTGAGTGGAGAATAAAAGAAAAGTATAATGTCACAGAAAAGTTAAATGAAAAATCATACTATCAAATACTAAGCATTGTCCAAATATACAGTTTTCAAGATTTTAACCTAACAGATTTAATTTTTTAAATGTTTGACTTTTGTTAAAATAAAAATTATGCTTCATGTGTAGATAGAGCACATACTTCACATCCATGAGGCCCTATGTAAAATTCCCAACACCAGTAATAACAAAAGCAATTAGTTGAGTGGTCCATGTATAAAATTCTAATTCTGTAAATTGACTCAGGGGTTAGGCACTGGACATTTAGTCAGGGAGACAGAGAAAATAATGTTGTGGTCCCCATATAAACCAGCTGGGGAAGTAGTTAATCAGGCAGTGTGACTTGGGCTCAAAGGCCTTAGTATAATTTCATTGTCTTTCTCAAAGATCAGTAACTCTTGTGCCATAGTTTTACTTATAATATTTGTCTTTTAGTTATCTTTACTTAACATTTTCTTTTGTTCCTTAGAAATTCAAACATAAGCTAATTTTATATCATCATCAGTAAACAGATGTGCCTAGCATATCATTGATGCACACTGTGTATTTAGAAAATTAATGTTTGTTAGCAAGAAGAAAATGCTGACTTACCACATTGGAGGTAAAACTAGCAGTGAAGCCTGATCCAGACTTTTGCAAGGGTCTGCAGGAATGAGCAAGTTGTAGCAGACAGCTTCCAAATTGCCAGTTTCCATGTGTATCCTTTCAGAAAATTGCTCACCTCCCCTCTGTACTTAAGCAGGTATTCTCCTTTGTCAGCTTGCCTTTCTACAATTCTCCTTTCCTCATTTTCACAAAGAAAAACACACTTTCACCGTTCTGACTTTTATATTGCGTTTCTCCAGGACACCAAACCTCCATGATGGGACTGGGGATGTTGCTCAATGGTAGTATGTTTGCCTACCATGTGCAAGACCTTGGGTTCCATCTCCAGCATCACAAAAAATAAATAACAAAAGACACCTCCATGTCATGTTTTTAGAAAGTTAGTGGCAAATTTTTCGACAAATCAGGTAGTTTCAAAGTTTTGCTTTCAACAAAAGTAAAGGAGTCCCAGTTCAGTTGTCAGCTAATGATTCATATAAAATATTTTTGATGATGGATCACTAAGTGATTTGGGGATATAACTCAGGAAGAATTCAAAGTGGGAGACATTGCTATAGCAAAATATTTAATTCTCATGTACTTCTATAAGTGAAGGTTTTTCTCAACTCTTATAAGAATACAAAATAAGAATAAAATTGATATTGAACTCTGACTTATCCTAGCAAGAAGTAATATTCGTCTATAGGTATATGAAAACAAAAGCTCATTTCATTATAGTTCCTATTAATTTTTACTTCTTATGTTTAATAAGTATCAAAATTATAAGTTATTTTTGGCCGATTTTATACTAATAATATTTTTGACAGCTGAATCCCAAAGTTATTTGAATACCACAGAGAAATTTAATATATATGTGTCTGTGTGTTCCAAAAAAGTATGATAAGATGATTTAAGACAAAAAAAAAAAATGTTTTCATGCATAAAAATATATTAGGATAAAGTTACATGGAGAAGTGGAATGTAAATAAAAGGAAAAATAAGAATATAAAACTTGTGCCTGTTAAAGAAGAGTTAGTGTATGAATTTTAAATGAATACAACCTGTATAACTTACTCAGTTTTCCCAAATGTGGGCTATGAAGGGATTAAAAATAAGAAATACAAGAAATAAAGAAAAGACTCAATTATAAGTAGATAGCGGGACTCAGTGGGCAAGTCAGTCATGGTAGGTTTTGACCTCTAACAATGATTGAGAGCCTCTGTGCTTTATTTTATAGGCAAGAACATCAAAGGGATTTATTGTGAGAAAAAACTTCAAGGTAAACAAGTGAAGCTGTGGGGAAAATAGCCTAATTGGAGGCTTATCAACTTGCTCAGTATTTCTTCCTCCTCCCCGCATTTAGTGCTTCAAGGCTATTTAGTCACACTGATATCTTTTCCACCTCCAAACAGCTGCATTTGAACCTGGGGCTGTTTGAACCAATAAATTAATTCCATGGAACATAGACTCCTCTTTGAGCAGGGTGTCAGCAGGTTACTGAGCTATCAGTCTGTGAGTGAATTTTAAATCATCTTTGGATCTGAATCTTCTGAGCCACTCATCACCTCATTAACTCCATTCCTGTAGAGTTCACTGTAATTAGCTTTTCACATCTTTTATCCTAATCATATAAAACTTTAATACTAATTTCTTCAAACATATTTTTATGATGGTACCTTTCCCTTCAATATTAACAGTCTTGTTTTAAATTTTGTCTCTAAGTGAAACACTTTCTTGTGCACGTAGTGATAGTCAAAAATCTATTTTGACTAAAGGCAAAATAGAATTTTGACTATCATTGCCTGTAAAGGCAGGCCATATTTTTTGGCAAGTTATTCTGTAGGGAAAGTTAAAACTATACTTCCCTTGTGTAGAACTTAAGGGGGGGCACAGAAAACTCAGTATTGTATTTTAATGGTCAAAATTAATTTAAAAAAAAAGCTACAGTAAAAATAAAAACTTTAAATAAAGATAGGTTCATAACATGAGCTGATGGAATCATATCAGGTCTTTATGAGGCAAAAGGAAAAGTCAGACTGATCCTGTCTCTGAAAATCAGAGATAAGTATAAACTTAGAACAATGGTCACCCCATTGATAATATAAAATGGTATTAATGTGTTTCTTTTGTTTTCTGTTTCTAGGGATGTATTGATATCTCCATCATTGTGGCAATATGCTGTCCTCCTCAACCGATTCAATTATCCTTTTGAACTGGAAATGGATTTATATTTGAAGGGCTATCACCAACTCTTTCAAGGATCTTTACCCTACTGTCCTAAATCACTAAAGTGTTACCTCAGCAGAACTACAGACCGTTTGCCTTCAGAAAGACACCAGTTTGGTAACCTGAAAAAATACTATCTCCTGAATGCTGCTTCTCTTCTCCCAGTACTAGCTCTGGAATTACGGGATGGGGAGAAGGCTCTAGATCTATGTGCTGCTCCTGGAGGCAAATCATTAGCACTGCTACAATGTGCTTGGCCAGGTAGTGTGCTTTTATTTCCTCGATTAACAATTGTTTCATATCTGTATGTTAAAAATTCTTTGAAAGTATATGGGAAGAAATGTAAGATTGAGTTTGCAAACTTAAGAAACTTGAAAAGCACTGTGGACAAGACTGGAAACATTAGCTGAATGATGCAGTGTAAATAACACTTTTTCCAGCTTCCTAACCCTAACAGATAATTGGAAACAAAATTTTAACATTTTTTGAACACAGATCTACCAGATATGAATATGAGTGCTATTAGCCAGTGACACAGGCTTTTTAAAATTTTGTTGTTTACTTTTTCTTTTTTTTGTGTGTGCTAAGTAGGTGCTCTACTACTGTACTTGAAAATCTTGTATTAAAATCACTTCATACATTTCTGCAACAAAACATGTACATTTAAAATTATTTTACTGTACCTGTCCAACAGAAATATAATATTTTTTTTTAGTCAGCTTTTTTACTGCTATGACCAAAAGATCTGACAAGAACACTTTTAGAGAGGGAAAAGTTTATTTGGTGCACACAGTTTCAGAGGTCTCAGTTCATGGACTTCCAATTTTATTGCTCTGTGACCAAGATGAGGCAGAATATCAAGGTAAAAGGATATAAAGGAGAAAAACAGTTTAGGGCATAATAATCCAGAAGCAGAGAGAGCTCCACTCACCAGGAACCAAATTTATACCCTGAAGGCATACCCCCAGTGGTCTACATCCTCTAGCCATACCCTACATGTATATAGTCACCACCCAGTTAAATCCTCCCAAGTGGATTAATGCACTGATTAAAGGTTCTCATAACTACTCATTTCACATCTGAATTTTCTTCTATTTATACAAGAGTTTAGGGGGAATACCACATATCCAAACCATAACAATTATGGAATACATATTAAAATATTTGAATAGTCATCAGGAAAATATAGAAACAGGTGAAATTAATTGAATGTTATTCAAAGTTGTATATCAACATATGATCAAAATAAAAATGTTTACAAGGGTTTCTCAGAGATATGGAGGAACTTGACTCAGGGCCAGAAGGATCCTTGTCTTATGTGTTGGAGAAGAACTGCAGCACATGCCAGTCAATATAGACAGATATTTATTTAGGAAAGCAAAGAATACACATTTAAGAGAGAAGTCAGGCCATCTTTGAAAGTGAGAGGCATTTTGCATTCTTATTTTTTGCAAGTCTTTGAAATTGGTTATTTTACAGAGAGCACATTTCTGTTTGAACTAACTACATTTCAAGTGCTCATAGCCACATGTGGCAAGTATGGGCCAAATCAATAAGTTCTTTTGAAATGACTTCATCATTACTATTATTACTAGTGCAAAAGTGATACACAGTTTATAAATACTGATCAGCAAGTCCACATTTATTATCTTCTTCTTCCTTTTTTTTTTTTCTTTTTTTTCCTTTTGTGATGCTGGGGATTGAACCCAGAGCCTCACACATGCTAGGCAAACTCTCTACCACTGAGCCAGATCTCCATCAGTTAATATTTTCTTAATGAAATAGATGATACTTTAAAAAAAATGAATTCAGATTCCCTGGATAAATATTACTTATTGCTGGATAAGATAGAGTTCAGCATCAGTTCTGTTTGAGTTTTATTTGAAGATTTTATTTTTATACATGTAAATTTTGTAGTTCACACAGAAATGGTGGGAATGTATTATAGTGTTTTCATTGGTACTTTAAATTCCTGAATTATGGTCCCAAATCACATACAGGTCTCTCATTAAGCATTATTTTGATGATATATTGAATGAGCACTGTTTAAATCCATTTTTCATTTTGTAAAAGGTGACGTATTGAAGCCAGTTTGATTGTATATACACACACACATACATATATATAATATATATGTATATTATATATAAGTATATTTTATATATATATTTTTCATTCATATTTTCTGGAGGTATCTAAACCCTAGTGCAATTTGCTTTATGATTCTGGATGATTGGGAACCTTACTTTTTCATTTGTAAAATTGGTGAATTGCCATGTGAAAGGAGAGTCCCCACTGGAGGATTTTTTTTCTCCTTTAGGAAGTTGATCTGAAAACTGATTCTTTTGAAATTATTCTAGTCTCCTTATCCCTTAGAAAACTGGCATGTATACCCCAGGGCATGCATATTCCAATTTGAAGACTGCAGTGTATTTCTTCCTTTGAGATCACTCCCTGTTAAAATATATTTTAAAAAATTTTGTGAGAAATAAGGATCCAGCTGTACTTGGCATTGGTTCAAATCTATCTTGTCACAGCAGAAGTGATATCTCTGGAAGTGGGTCCAAGGGTTTCTCAGAGATATGGAGGAACTTGACTCAGGGCCAGAAGGATCCTTGTCTTATGTGTTGGAGAAGAACTGCAGCACATGCCAGTCAATATAGACAGATATTTATTTAGGAAAGCAAAGAATACACATTTAAGAGAGAAGTCAGGCCATCTTTGAAAGTGAGAAGTATACTTTCGGGTTCCCAACTCTCCACTTAAAAGAAAATTGGTGAGGTGTGGTTATGGGGAAGTCTGTAAGGATAGTATCTTTTTAGTTATCTTAAGGTGGTTTGTAGTAATTTGGTCGTTCTCAGAATTGTTAGACTGACATGACCTTCATTATCTGATCAATGGATAACACTGTAAAGCCTCCTAAATTTCAGGTTCCTCAAAATGCATCTCTCTCTCTCTCTCTCTTTCTCTGCCTTAACTATTTATTGGTCATTAGTTAACAACGCACAAGGTAGATTTAAGACTTCCCAGAAATGTGGCGGTGACAGACCTGGAAAAGCATATGAAAATTTAAGATTATATTTACTTATACTTTCTTTATGTTTGCTTTCTACTTTTTTTTTAAATTCTTTTATCTCATATTAGCTGTATATTTAACAGAAAATACTGTGTGTTTTAGAGTTCTGGTTAAAGTTCTGTTACTGAAACTTGCTATATTTTAGTGTAAGAAATCACAATAGACAAGATTGTTTTATACATTACCTTATTTTTATGATTTGGAACAAAATTTTATGGAATTGTTACTGGTGGTATTCTGGGGAATCCAGGAGATTACATTTTGATTTTAGACTACTATGTTCTTATGAGAAGATTTTAAGCAAGACATGAAATGTATTACAACAGCAAATTTTATTAGGAAAGAAAGGAAAAAACCCTCAAGGGAAAGGGTGAGTCATCTCAAAGAGGAGAGCAAGATTGCTCTCCCTTTATTCCCTAGTCTACTTGGGGTCTTAGGGAAATTTCTAGAGAGTTCCACCCAGGTGCCACCTCTTAACTTTTGATTGACAGATTGCATCAGATTATTGAGTCCTTTGCCGGGTTTCAGTTCTCGCAACTAAAAGGCTCAGGGGTCACTCCAGATAAACTGGGCTAACTGGGCTGCATGAAATAACCACACAAGAGACACAAATATCTTTTTCTTTGGGGTCGCTGTGAAGGCTCCTCTGACCTTAAGGGTCTACAGAAAGAGAGAGAGTGAGAGCACATGCTGACCCCTTTTATCTAGGAGAAGTTATTTAAATGAGGCAAGTGGTCAGGTTTCAGGGGGCTGAGTATCTTCATGATGTTCACTGTCAGCACGTTGACTGACATCTGAGTAGGCCACACCCAAGGGCACAGTAAGAGAATGGGACACACACAAGGCACTTCCATGGAAGATTCTATTCTAAACAGGGCAAAGGGTTATATTACAAAGGAACAGGTGAGCGTAGCTTCATCCATGGGGCTGTAGCAAGACACCCATGCACGAGACACCGACCCTCGCACCCAAGAAGGGTGAGAAAAGTTCTGCCACATTTCTGCAACTGAGCGCCTCAGCACCCAGCCAGGGAGTGTAACTCAGTCATGTGTAATGTTGGCTTCCCACAGTCCTTACTGCACATGATTTTACCCACAGGTTCCCAAGAGAAACCCAGGGGGATGGGTAATTTTACTATTATAATGAAATTAAAATAGCATGTTAAAGATCTAAAGGCAGCTCTTAATCACTTTGACCAAGTGTTATTGGAACTTGTTTGTACAGATTTTATGGTTGTTGGGCTTTGTTTTTAAGTATCTTATCTTCCTAAGTCTTGGAATCTTTGTTCTATGTAAAGATCACAATAGTTCACTTTCAAGGTAAATTGTGTTTTTCTTATGGAAAGAATCTTTGGATGATCATTCCTCTACCCAGAGAGAAAAGCAATGAGGATAAGGGTTGTTTGCAAGTAAGGTAACATATCCTACTGACTTAATCCAGAGCAGGGCCAGAATGACCTTGAGTGAATTGCTTTATAAAAGAAGGCATAGGCTTAGTCTATGGAATTGTCCCCTTAACTTCAAGTTTCTACTACTCATGTCCTTCTGCTACCTATAAGAATCACATATTATATGGAGTATTTGTTTTTACTTCCATTCTATGTTCTTTGGCAATATTTTTATATTGACTGTTATAAGGTTATCCTTATGAATTTTGAATACAGAATTTTTAATATTATAAAAGAGGGAAGAGAAACTTGAAATTTGGGAACCATTTTGAAGAGAGAGTATTTTAATTTTGAATTTTCCTCATTAGTAGGATATAAATATTTTACATATTTGTGGTAGTGAAGTTGATTTGATTAGGAACCCAAAGGCAAACTGGTATATTCTAGGAGTTTGAAGTGGGGAAGAATCTTCCTGTTTTTATACCAAGTGAACTGTAGGCAGTGTTCCAAGTAAAGAAGCTTTTCATGTAAGTTCACTAATGATAGTGGTTCACTAAAAAGTACAGATGTCTTCATGCTGATGCTTAAAGCCCAAATTAGGTTAACCACAGTGCTGGAATTTGGAATGCAGAAGCAATGCTAATCAAAGCTTTCATATGCAAAACTTTAAATGTTGGCTGTACTAGGTGTGCAGTTTATACACCAAAGTTTTTTAGATTAGTACTGATCATTATTCTTGAAAAAGAGGCTTACAACTTTGAACAATTAAAAAGCTCATATTTTACGCCAGTTGAAAAA